CTGACGACGATGGTCATCACGTACAACTCTCAGCAAACATAATGATACGCACACACAAAGAGAAGTCACATACAGTTGGAGGGATGTTCCTCAAATGACGCATATTTGCACATCGTACATTACTGTCTTCGGTCCTTCCTGTATGCCCATTCTATCCGGTCTACAACCTGTTCATCGGATTGGGAAAGATGAACGTTCCTGATTGTTGAGAATGGGAATGGTCATCGGTTCACCAGTCCGCTCCTGAATGCGTCTCTGGTCCGAGTGCGATTCAGAACACGAAGGCATTTGCATACACTACCTGCACACTAATGTGGTCGAAGTCAGTTTCAGAGCCCACATGGTGAATTTGGCCATGCCGTTCTTCGGGTAGGGAGAAAGGATGCGTTTTCAAGCATTCGGGTTCAGTGGACTACATCGACGGTCTCGTAACACATTCCGTCGTAGTGCTGTCGAGCCCATGGCCCAGCAGGACGGCATAAATCAGTTTTACCGAGACTCGCTCATCCGAGACCTCTCTTTGGGCCCGGAGTCAGTGATTCTGCTTTTTCTGAGAATTTATCAACACTAAAGCCGAGATGACGCAGTTACCATAGAGGCAGGAAATGTTTTGGGAGCCATCTACTTGAGGTTGGAAGGTTATAGGAATGGAAAATGACTAAAAATCCTGTTTTTTTTTTTATTTTGAGCTCGGAAGTCTTGAACTGATAGCCATAACCAACTAGTTACATTTCTTCCTGTTTATTCTGCTCAAGTTTGTCCGTTCTCTGGTCATGAACCTTCTGAACAGATTCGTTCTGTAGATTTCCGTCGATTCAAACACAACCGATTACGAATGCACACATGAGTACTATAGTGATTTAAATATTAGATAGGTGCGACAACAACTGATGATGATTGATCAGCGATCAAAGCGATCTCCTTGCTCATCATCATCAGTCAGATGAGGACCTGTGGGAAGAGGAGGTCATCGGGGGTGAACAACAATTAACACCAGACGCATAATTGCACAATGATGGATTATACCATACTCGTGCATCAACAGATGCGCTCTGAATTGTCAGTTTTTTGACAACACGTATATTACTCCTAGAGCGACAGATTGAACAAGAGTCAATTGCTTCGTTGGAGGGCTAGGCTTCGAACCAAATTAGGGCCGCAGAGCAGTAATGAGACTTCGTTATTCTGTAGATCGGGTGTCTTTTGGAGGCATTCAGGGGCAACTACGTAGCCCCTTCAATCTTGAGCGATGGGTAGGGTTTTCAACAGGTACCACTGAAAGGCCCAACTCAACGGTAACTGGGCAATTACCAGGTTTTCTATTGAATTCTGGGTTGACGGAAGATGAGGTTCTATAAATANGTTACTCTGTAGATCGGGAGTCTTTTGGAGGCATTTAGGGGCAACTAAATGCCCTTCAAACTTGAGCGATGGGTAGGGTGTTCAACAGGTACTACTGAAAGGCGCAACTCATCGGTAACTGGGCAATTACCAGGTTTTCTATTGAATTCTGGGTTGACGGAAGATGAGGTTCTATAAATACTTCGGTTGGTAGTCTCTACAGAAATTGGGCCAAGGAATCTGTTTCCGAATGGTCAAGATATGTCTTTAGTAGCTAATTATAAGCTGTTTGGGACTTCAACTTCGGATTTCGGCCTTTCAAGGCAGAAAACAAGCACCTTTTGCGGTTTTCACTTTCATTTTTGTGGAGAAAATGTTATTTGATGTCGTTTTCAGGACGAAATGAGCTTATCGCTCGATATATCAAACTTCGATGTGGCAAAACGCGAACTCGGAAACAGGTCTCATCACATATTCAGGTGTTGGCACGGAAGAAAATGCGTGACGAACAAGCCAAGAAAAAGGTATGCAGCGCTGCTTTTGTTCTCCTTTGCAAAGCTTGAATCAATCGGAGAATGGTGACGAATCTCAGGAGGTTTTCAGGCTGAATGTCCTGTGCAGACCCCAACCGCAGCAGCAGCAGCAGCTGCCGTTGCTGCCGTGCCTCCTCCACGAGTACCGAATACGCCGCAATTTCCCGCGGTAATTCTTTTTCCCTTAATTGCTACCGTATGCTGACTACTGTAGATTTTTCTCACACCAGCTATCGATAAGGTGATTGGTCTAATATTAAAATTCTTTCTAAATTTTAAAATTCAGATTTCATAACTGTAGCTTGTATTTGGGTAGCGGCATTACTATCCGGCTGCGGCGAAGGGTTCACTGGCACGAATAAGCTAAGACTTCTCCCAGCCATTCAATTTTAGGCTACAAAAGTTCCCGGCAAAAAGATATATACCCTGATGCTTAGATCTAAAATAAGTCCATCTCTGACACATTAAGGACCTCTTTTTTTATGAAATTGTACTTATCAAACTTTTTTATCCTTCTATGAAACAATCGCTCAAATGAGGTGAACGAACTCCGGAAAGTTGATACAGGACGAACATTCCTCTCCCTTCTGTCTTCACCCACAGTTTCGGGAACGTCTCTGTGGTTTCAGGGAGGAGTTGAATAAAAAGCTTTCAACAGCTCAGGGATGGACTGTATTCGACTTTGGTAAGGGAGAGTCGTAATGGTGACATGAATGCGTGTATGACCTAAGCAATTCTCTGCCGGTGTACAAATAAGTACTTTTATATTCCCAGTCGAGTTTGAAAGCATTCAACCGGCTTTGGAGGGATGGAACGCTTGGTTGGATGTGTCTGGTACCCCTCCGGGATTTTATCCCCAGATCAGTCGTGTGGTAGTGACCTCCAATTGCCTTTATCAGACCAGAATTCAGGGTTTATAGTTTTGCGCTTGATTCAACGTAGTGAGCTAGTTTCAGTAGCAGCTTACTAATTGAAATTTCTGTAAAAGCAGTTTATACTTACTTTTCACCGTCATCTTGAACTACCGTATGCAATATGTGTTACCGTAATTCAACGTATATTTTCAGCTTCCAAGCCTGCCACAAACACCTCATCTAACCGATGCAAAGGAACATTTAGCTCAGCAATTATTAGGTAGTATGCTTGAGATTGTGTTTTCCTGTTTCAGTAATAGAGAATCCATCTTTTTTGGGTTTCCGAGGAGCTTCTTTTGGATTTTACCTGGATAAAAAGTTGTTTCTTGGGCTTCTACGTTTACTTTTTTCCATGCCAAGCAATCCAGATTTAAAGGCTGATTCGTTGGTCGTGATTCAATCTCAATCATGAGTACCAGTTTTAGGCAAAGCTTCATTACTACCGGCGACGATGTATCAGACGTTATGGTCCCAACCATTCCCATCAGCCGCACACTTTGCACCGGACGTGAAACCGTTCGCGTAGGTTTCCATTCAATTTCTCGTGTTTTGGTCGTCATGGCTTATTTTGCTCTGATCCTTATCATAATGTAGCCTATCTGAGTATGAACGATATCGACCCTGCAAAAATCGAATCAGAACTCTGAACTAAAATCAAGGGTAGACTGGGAATCTAGAATCCAAAAGGTTCATTGGGAGGGGGTGACCCGTTTTTCGTTTAACTGCCCCTAAGATGAATTTCTCGGGCTTAGTTTTCGGATTTTCTAGGTGTGGCCTATTTCAGTCAAATACTCATCTTAATGTAGCCTATCTGATGGATAGAGTTGATATCGATCCTGCAAAAATCGGATCAGTCCCCTATCCATGTTCATCAAGCAGGGAGCAAGCCGCATTTCAGTCAGTGCATCCAAAGTTTTGCTTTCAGGGTTCTATCCAGTAGAACTGCTCACCAACCCTTTCAAGTAGGCTGTTCCTTATACTGTTGTCCTGTGTAGTGTTACCGACGACCCTCATCAACTACCGTACACCAATTTTCACATACTCGAACGATTACAGTTGTTAATCATTGTCCTCGCGTTGCTGAGAACTCCCGCGTTGTTCATTGATCTGTCCAAGGTCTTCGGACGGTACTCAACTACCATCTGCTCTTAAGTGTAGTGCTGTTGAAGTGAATGCCAAAACCACCCGTCTGCCTTTGAACTAAGTAGAAATGTGCATGAACTCGGGAAAAAAATGGGCGGCAAATCTTATGAGTCACCTCAAATGGGAACGATGGTCGAGTTCACAAAGGGCCCAGCAAAAAATCAATAAAATCAATCAAGGTTTTGATGCGTTTCGAAGTGCTAGCAAAACCTTACCTGAGCTGTTCTACCGAGAATCGCGGTCCCTGCACTTTCTTGACGGCCACGCCCCTTTTTCATACGTCCTGAAATCTCGTCCTGTTTCCAGTATGGCGCCAGAGTTCGCGTTGCCGTTTGCCGCCGCGGTCGTGCAACCCCAAGCCGCCGCTGCTGCCGCCGCAGCTGCCGCGGTCACCAAGAAAACCGCCGACGGAATCGCGTCGTCCAAGCTCCGACTCACTGGATTCCAAGCGTGAGTTCATCTTTATCTGAAAGTTCGAGTTCGTCGACTAGTATGGCGGTGGACGAGTTGTTCCGAAACGTTATTAGATTGCAGTTATCTCGAATTGCCGCATGGAGGCCCTCGTGTTGATATTGTGAGCATCCCTCGAGACGTCGTCGAGACTGAGGTGAGATTTCTTGAACCTTTAGACTTTTATGAAATAGTGAAGAGATTCCTGGATTTCAAGGGTATAAAATGGGTTCATGAAGAACTAAGACATTGATCCGTAGATCTGCTCGATTTCAGACACTCAAATTGGACACAGTCATAGAGAAGTACCCGAAATTGCTCACGGAACTCTTTGAACGTGGTCCATCGGATGCGTTTTTCCTAGCAAAATGCTGGGCAAATGTCTCTTTCGACTCTTCCGATACTGAGTGAGTTCCAGCTCTTTTTCACCTACCAGCTTCGTCACCACTTAGACTTTTCATATTTGACTCTAACTGTTTACCATGACGTTGATCTGCACTGTTGCAACCCCCGCTAACCTTGGCCGACGTCGCCGCTCACTGCCCTCTCAAGGCCCCTGCTATCCTTGTGAACCTTGTTGACCATGTTCTTCAGCTTTCTCTTTGGGGATTGGTTTCTATGGGCTATGGCCAGCAAATACCGGTGCCTTTATCATGGAGTGATCTTTTGGTTCTTGCAGAAAATCGTATGATCTTATCGTCATCCTCCTTTCTAACTTTGCTCGTTCTCTCACTCATGACTAGGTTCTAGTTTCAGCAGCATAAAGCCATATATTTCTAACTCATGAACACATCATCAGGAATCATGAAAAGAGTTCCAAATAAAGCAACGATGCTTTTCAACTGAGCTCTTTACGCAGTCGCAACAACTGAAATCTCGTCCAAGTGGTCCTTCCATGCCATTTTTGCTCTGACAATCTCGTACAACCCTTCGTTTTCGTTAGTACTGAGAATTCTTATTTTTCGCTGAGTCATCGGATTTTCTTGCTTTCGTTGCCACCTATGCAATAGTCTCCACCAACACTTCGCTTTTCAACCCAACAAGGGCACCTCAGAATTATCGTGAGCTGTACCTTAAGAAAGTGGTATTGGTCGGGGAAGATTGATGAGTGGTTTGAGAACCTAATAGTCACACTGTGCTACTTTTTCGAGCGAGCCAATAAATCGAAAATCGATTCAGAAACAGCCTGTACGCGGTCGACTCGTATTACCATTCCCAGCAAAAGTTCGACATCAGTGTCTCGACGAAAGTCTGCTCTTTCGGTAATGAAGTCGTCGAGAAAGTAGAGGTGAGTAAGGAGAGGCTCCAGTGTAGTCCTCTCGACTGTTTCATAATATCCCATAAAAGGTGAAAGTAAATGATCGTATAATTGATCGCAAATTTTCCCAATGGCCCTGAAAATGGGGATAATCGGCAAAGAATGGAAGTCGTTTTAGGTCTACTCACCTGACGAAGAGAATGGACATTACTCATTCCGATTGGAACGGTCACCAATCTGTGAGTACATGGTGAAATTCATTTCCGAGTTGAAAAAGCTCGAATCTCGCGACTACATGAACAATGTACTCGAGAACTTCACTGTCCTTCAGGTACTGATCACCCATCCGAGTTTTTTTTCTTTGGTGGGGTGGTCCATGTCATCGCTACTTACCGTATAATTCATGGTAAAAATGGTTTTTTTCATTTCTCAGGTTGTTACGAATCAAGCCACCGGTGAAACCCTCATGGTAATTGGTTTCGTATTCGAAGTGAACGATCTTCCCGAAGCAAATTGCTCCATTTTCCGATTGGTTGCCTAATCGATTATCGATCGCAATCGAAAGCTGACACGTGACGCGCGCAGTGGGCGGTGCTGCGTCACGTGTGCGAAAGCTTGTACACATTATACGACTAGATATTAATGTATTATTGAATTATTCTCCGTTTGTGTTACGAATTCTAGGGATTTCTACTCAAGCAATGCCAAATACGATTCAGACCAACAGTCGAAATCATTCCATTATCATCATTATTCATTCATTCATTCATTCATCATCCTCTCGTCGATCGATATCTATTTATTCCATATGGTGCATTTGTGTTAACCTATACATTCGCAGAGTGCTCTTTATACCGCACGCACGCATACGCACGCAGGCCGCATCGCGTTAAGCTGCGGTGCAGCTCGTTTTCTGTCTGCGTCCCTATCACTATTTCTTTCCGTCTCTGTGCTACCAGTTGTTTGTCTCTCTCTCTGGTCGTCTGCCATCTGGCCACCCAGCACCCATTCACTTTTCCGCACATTATTGATCGCAGAATCGATATCGATTAGTCACTAAAGCGGCCGAATTCGGCGGCGTATTTTTTTTTNTTTTTTTTTCAGAACAGAGTCATATTGCACGTTTTCGAGTATGTCTTGTCGCCGCATCTTATGCATTACTTTACGGTTTTTATGTCAGTTTCATTATTAATTTTCGATTTTTTGTTATTGAATCGAAAACGTCGCGCGTAGTCGCAGTTCTTCTGGTGTGAACGAGATTTGTGCAGATACACTTTAGTCAAATTTTGTGCTGTCCATTCGTTTATTGGATTTAAGTGAACATTGTCTTTTTTGTATCGAGTTATGCTGTTGAGTACTGCATAAATGCAGTCATTCTCAACTACAGAAGAAGAATCTCAGTTAAAGAATGCCCCGGATTGAACGTCATTTCGAATGGTAGAGAAACCTTCCTCCCCAACCTGAAACCTCCAGTTACTGCGGAACAGATGATTCTGCTGGTGATGGGTGACGCATTTTTTAGAGTCAAGCGTTGAGCGCGAAGCGTTCAGCTTTAGGCGTTGTTGGCACTCTGTTGAAAATACTGCACACCGATCGATACAGCTTGGGCCGGCGGTGGTAATTTCTTGATCGGGGCTGGCTGGTTGTATTATTCACTTTTCTCATTGACGGATGTATATCGTTATGGAAACGCTTCACGCTTTTCTGCTTGGAAATAACATGCCCCAATAATATGCGCTAACGAGGGCTCAACGCTACACGCTCAGCGCTGTACTCTGAAAGCGCCCACTGGTGGGGAAAAAACGTCGGCCATGGATTTCTGTTCAACTTTACCTTCTCTATTTCCGGAAACGAACAAAATCGTTGCTTAGCACTACCGTTTATGTGGACGTTACTAAAAATTTCTTAGCAGCATCCCTCAGATTCCGCTGCAGAACTACACGACTGCAGAAGAGTGGCATCGAGTGAAGATCCAGAGATTTCTGTGGAAAGTAGAGCGTATGGAAAATGATGGTAGAAAATGATATTGAAAGGTATCTGAGGGTCATCCATTTGGATTCCTTCATCTTGAGTGATCATATATGACAAACCCTCCTAGGCATCAAAATGACCGAATATTAGCACGTGTTCGTGTGATCCTTGAGATTTTCATTGAAACGACGGTCTGCAATTCTATTTCCCACGCAACCTGTCTGTCGAAGTGAACGTTTGTGTCTAGTGGTTTATGTTTGGGCACTATACCGCCTTCCTACCCCGGTTCTCCAAAATCTGGTACGATTTTGTCACTTTGAATCCTTGGGTGAATTTTGTTGGGAACACGTCTTCGAAGATAGTTCCCTTAAGCACGTCGTCACCACCCACACTCGCACAGTCAGCCAGCCACATTGCATCCTAAGGTTTTCAGCGAGTCCGTGATACGAGATGGTCTGGTATGGACTGAAACGGCTTTATGCCTAGTGGGCGCTATACTCGATTTTAATGCGTTAAGCTACTTTCCAGGCAAGTTTCTGATTGATCCTTTAATAGACTTAATGCAGCAGAAATCCAAACTAACCCATTGACGACCGCGTGGCCTGCAGGCGGGTCACACCATATCGTGCTCTTGTAGTATTTATATTATTTATCAAATGTTCTGATAATTTTTTCATGTTTTCAACCATCAGCTGAGCTCTCAACCTTCTAGAGAGTCTTGAAGCATTGTGGTCCAGGAATCATTCATTTCCAACTACAGTTATAAGGAAAAATTAAAAGTTAATGTAAGGCCGGTTTAAAGGGGCGGTCGCCAATGGGTTAATAGCCTGTCCCATCTCGTAGCGTAGGTTGGGTAGGGGTATAAGATACCCGATGTTATCCCAGTAATTACGACCAATTCATAAACATGAGCTTACAGCTGAGGAATGCGACTTTGTTGGAGATTACGCCTTTCATTTTAGGTTTTCTCTCACCCCTTTGCTGTGTGCTCTGCAACTTGTTGGCCTGCTAAAGGCAAACACTGTACATTATCTGACAACCAGAACCAGTTTTCGATGATGGATTGGTCCCGGAAACACTGCAAGGGGCGATGAAACAAAATTTCAGGAAGCAAATAACAGCTCTCTAGGGCCTGTACGGGCACTGACAAAGTGGTAATGCAGAGGGGTCCATTGAGCTGTTTCCAAACGCAAAAATGAGGAAGAAATTTAGAAAGGCGTCATTTCTACTTGACGTCGCTTTCGGAACCTTGCCCGCAGCCTTTTGTTCTCTTCGGAATAACTATAACTCTCCGCTCTCTATATTGAAATAGGCTCAAAAATGGAATCTCCTGACCCAGGCCTTGTCGTACGAATGACTTTATTAAGTTGAAGGGTAACAAATCTTTATTCCCTGTCGAACACAGTGAAAATGAATAAAATGATAGTCACACTCTTTTGAGTCGTTATAACATCATCCATCACGCTACGACGACGCCTTCGAAGCCGTCTTAGAACTCAGAGATCGTTTAGCAAGGAGAGGCCCGAGGCGTTCGTGTGGTTTTCGGACCCTTTCATAGAGCTTTGAAGAATAGGGATTGCACTGTCCAATGAGTGACTGCTCGTGAAGAGGTGGATGATTACGATCAAATAGCAGCCAACTGAAATGGGAAACAGGTCACTTCTATTGACGGCACTGACGGAATACCATAAGTATACGGAGCACCTAAGGGACATAGAGAGGAAGGCTGCTTCAAGACTGGCGGGTCTGCGTTGCTTACTGTTTATCAAAGACCAGATACACCCAATAAGTCATTATAAAGTATATATCCACACATTCAAAAAGATTAAATGAAACTCGAATTCGGGGGAGAACTAATGAAAGCCCAGAATGGAAGTAGTCATAGCCAAAGGACGTTGAAGATTCAAAGACTCACTCAAGACGAAAAATCCAAATGGCAGAAGAGTTGTCTTGTCCACGCAACTCAACACCGCAGTTGCTAGGGCAGCGTACTGTAACACTCACAGTTTAACCTTTGGCAAAAAATGCTTGGAAAAACTATTAGTTGGTGCAAAATCATGGGATTTTCGCTTTGGACCTGACTCGAGCTCCTAACTACATATTCTGAATAAGGTACTTACCTTCACCATACTGAGAATGAGCTTCTAGGCGCTTCACTCTGCTTGCTATGGTCTTCTACTAACCATGAGTGCATATTTGATGAGCTCTACACGTATTTTAAGTTGTTGAAATATTGAAAAAGGAAGAAGCGCTGCACATTTAAGCATCCACTAAAGTCCATGACTCCTACTCAGACACGTATAGGGTCCTCTGTAATTCCATGCTGGATTTGCATACGTAGTAGTCGATAGCAGCAGGCCTTCCATTATTCTCATTGTGAATCGCAAAAAAATCATTTGACTTGCACTGGGAGGGGGTGTGGTGCGTTAGGAGCGAAATGGTCGCGTCGCGGTGAGAGGGCCGTCGCGCGCGAAGGAATGTAGCAGGATGCAGCAGTAGGTAAGAAATACAACAACAAAAGTACTAATAGTAGAATTATGCATAAAATAATGATCGCATATCGATTGAGCTGTATGAAGGACGCTAGAGCTGTAATAACGGCGAATGAGTGGTCCGCGACAGCCGCGTGCGGCNAATCGATTACCCAAAATCGTTTCTAACGCCCGTCTCCCACTGGGAGGTAGTAGAATAGAGCCTAGTGACGATTTTAATTCAACTACGTTCGGACAACTAAATCCTGTATCGTAACAGCCAGGTCTACCGATATTTCCAGTTTTTGGGTTAGAGTGATTAATACATTCTTTCGAGAAGGGTAAAAATGACGCCAAAAGAAGTTTGATCAGAGCCAGAGTTTCGTTCTTTATTCCCGAAAATGTAGGACTACAACCGTTTTTGAGGAAAATCTGCTTGACAGAATTTACCAGAGCGATGGCTAAGCTATCGGAGTCACTGATTGAGCAAAAGAAACTTTCTCTGAGCTTGGAAGGAAAATAGTACTAAGTGATTCTTGCGCGACTGGAAAAGAATGTTAGGCTTACCATTTTCCGGCCGGTTGTCAGGTGGAATGAATTGGCAGTGTATCCATGGAAATCTCGGCCAAATGTGTCTCTAGTGACTTTCCTGAATATCGAAGGTGTGTTGAGCTCTGATGGGTATTTTGATTGAAGCTTGTGTTCTGCTGGAAAAATGACCCACAAATCGAAAGTCTGGATTAACGAAGGAAGCGAAGGTGGTTACCGCTTCGAATCCTATTCTGAAAGTGTTCCAATTATTTTGGGAACCCTGTGTGTTAGTGGACTGAGGTCATATCTAGTTACTACCTTTTCATCTCATTCATCACAGCTCGTCAGATTTTCATTCTCGTTTGCCTCTTTCTTCAGAATTTCTCTCGAGCGTGGATCGCACTATGGCGATCGAACAACCGTCAAAGCTCCTATCAAAATGTACGTCCAGGGATCATCTAAAAGGAAAAAGTACCAAATAGTAAAATAATAAGGAATAGCATCGCCACTAATTTAATATGATAATTGCCGATGGAGACCTTTTTTCGCAGCCTTTCTTCTGGCGGAAAGCATTAACCTGCCTATCTTTCTTGCGCGACCTGATCTCAGTGTGTCCCGCTACAGTCATTTATGCTTGAAGGCACAGTTCAGGATACTTTTGAGGTACCCCTTATAAGTCGAAAAGCGAATGTATTGTCGAGGGTAGAGCATAGATTGCAAAAGAAGCGAGAAAATTCACCGATTTCGCGAAAAATAAGCCTCCTCAAAAGTAGTGAAAGTAGGTGTTGTACGAGATTACCATGGCGGAAATGGTATGCAAAGGGTATTCGGACGAGATCTAAACTGTTGCAATTACGCAAAGAGATGACTATATCGAGCTAGGTTCAAATTGTCTTCACCATTCGCCATTCGCGTTTCCCAACAATTTGTCATGATCCATTCGCCATGGACCATGGCAAATTGTTGGGACTCCCTATATTGGTTCCCTTGCGAATTGCGCAGCCTCTACAACGCCGTTGAAAAGTCTGTGGGTGTGGCATTCATACGATACAATGTCTGGCCCTTTACTGTGCTCTATCCAGGACGTTTCTCGACTTGACATCGGCAAATATGGTATCAGTAGGGGCCCCAAACTCATTAGATAGGGGAATCTCAGAGATCATTTATATTGTGAGCTGTACCTTTTAAGAACGACGATGTGAGGTGAGCAAATTTCGCAATTTGAGCTCAACCCCTTCCCCAGCCCCTTCTGCTCAGGGGTCAAAAGTTGCGCTATAACACTTGATGTACCAGTCCTTTTTTACCTATGTACTGACTACTTGGGTCAACTTATAGCTTCATAAGTTTGTCCGAAATAGGGCAAGACAAACCATACCCTTTCTTGGGCTTTTCCATCTGTTGCCTTTTATGTCTCGTCATGCCGCATTTTATTCCCTTGATTGCTCCTTTTACAAATGAATTTTTGGTTACGATTGCACTATCCTTTCTTGATTCAGAACTCACCGAGAGCGGAGACTGTGTGTGGCAGGGGGGGGGGGGGGGCACCACCCAATTGCATGGTCCGCGGATCGAATCCCGAGTTGATGCCCGTCTAGATCAATAACGCCTTCCATCCCTGCGGGGTCAGAAATTGGTACGATACACGTCTCATAGAATAGCAGCCTCGACTTGAACATTGGCTGACCACCACAGTTTATTGTATAGGCCACATACGCATTCAGCTACCACCACCAGTTGAATATTAAAGATTTATTCAGAAGACAATATCAAAGTTTTGATTTGACACAAACGGAACTGGGACACGCACAATCATAAGGAAAGGTTTAACAATCAACGATCTTGAGCAGTATTTTCCTGGAACAAGTGAAACTTCATAGAATAAAATCTCCTAGAGTGATACCGGCATCGAACTCAATTCACAGGTTGGCTGGCGAGAGAGATTGATCATTTTGGTAAGAAAATACATATTTAACTACCGAATAACAAGCAATATTATCATGGTCAATGCAATCCACAGTGGATGAGGTATCCGAGCAACGTTTGGTTGAGTTCGGTAGCCTTCTTCCGAGCAGAGGCGACTCGTTGTATCGGTAAAGTTAAATTGTTGATCCTGTGTCAGTGATGGTGATAGCCGTATTTCTACGCATCGACGAATATCGTACACTTCATTCGGTTTGAGACCGCTAACAGTGAGTCGCTTCTTTTCTCCCGCCTGAAAAAAGCCTCACCGTTACACTTTCACAATCCAACCGTAAAGGTGACTAGTCCCGAGGGAAGGATGGAGGGACAGGTGAGTAGGAAGCCCTTTAGGCCAGTTGGAAATGTATTGAAGAAGTCTCAGTTACACTCTCAAACATATTTACGTCGTAAATAAATATGTAAATATACTCCAGTAGATTACTAAGCTATGTGACATGTTCAAAGACTGAAATACTGAACCTTCACTCCACCACTCACCTCTCCAACCTATTCTCCGCAGTTGCAGAGGACTAGGACGCATGGCGCATCCAGAATGGGATGGCAAAAAATTCAGCTGACAAATTCAAATGGACTTACTGCAATTGAAAGCTTTCGCACATCAACAGGAATTGAGTTTCGCTGTACAGATGTGGTCAATTCAACTTGTGACGAGTTCGGGAATGGAAAATTGTCTCCGGCCTGTAGTATGTAGGTCATGGCAGTGTATGTCGATCTTTATTGATTTATACTATTCCACATTTACCACTGACCTTAATCCAGTAATCAATGGTGCTATTTGATGCTCTTGGAGATGAGCCTAGAATGAATAGGTCGGCACAAGCTTCAGTCAGATCGTTCTCGCACAGGATGTCTAGCCTGAAAGCCTCACCTTTAAGCAAGCCTTCAGTTAGGATCCACTTTACCAAACTCTCTAGAACAAATGCTTACTTTTACACTGATTGTTGCGTCAAAGTAATGGTATTTTAAGGCTCAGTTCCCTTACACCACATCATCCCCGGGAACTTAGAAGTATGCTTTTATACAGACCCTTTTATTAAGTATTCACTTTATTCATCACGACTTAATTTCATAGATCCTTCGCATTCTCAAGTACAGATTGCAGAAACGAGGAGTTCATTCTCCCTGCTTCTCAGTTTCGGATACTTATCGCCTCTGATCATGGGGTCTGGAATCTACCCGATGTAAACAAACACTCAAATGCATAACGCGCCTTTACGATACAATCGCTCAATCTACAATCCAAAACAGCTTTTACTCAGTTTTTGCCGGGTGTAAACAAATTGGACTGCAAAATATGAAAGTTCTGCTAATATTATCTTACTAATAACAAATAACTTTCTTATTATGCAAGATCAGATCAAAGTCGTAGGTATTTTTAAGAGGTTCTAATTTTTGCAACCAAGAACTTACGCGAATCATTATCACGTCTTCATTATGGAATTCACTCAACAACTGTGGAAGATCTACTTAGTGACTCTTTCTTGGAGGAAAGCTTTCTCTCACCGACAAATCTGGCATCCATCGCTCAGGGTATAGCAGATTACATACCAATCCGGTATCGGAATCGCACCTGAAAAGTTGTATGGTCGATGTTTTCTCACTGCTTATTTATTTATGCACTCAACTAAGTGCGCCAATAGAGGAAACTGAGGACAGGCTACAGAAGGGCCCAATCAAGATCAAGATAAACGAGCTGAGCTGAGCCAGCAGTGGCAGTCCGCTGAAAAACCAGTATCTGTACTAGGGTAGAGATGGAAAAGAACTCATCTATGAACAGTGGGTCACATACGCCACAATAACTGAACTGAACTATGTTATCATATGTTACCAACAGTAGTTGATTATTATTAAGTCTTTGATGGAAGCAAAGGTAAAAGAAACCACTGTTCCGTGGTAGTTTAGATTTCGAATTCGGGATCGGAACTCTGGACCGATCTTATTTAATCTTTATCTCCTTGAGGTGTTCCTACCCACAAGAAGGACGCTGTAGCAGGGTTGTGTTGCTGCGAGAGGTGGACGTTATCTGTGGAGTTTCTCGAGGCGTACCCATAGGATCGTGACCGGCTGTTCCTCTTCACGGAGACCTCGCTAGTCGTAATTTTATAGTTACTGCCTTATCTGGTGTTTTGACGGCTCGGTGGTAGAATGCTCGATAGGATATTTATCTCAATATTTATTGGGTCAAAAGTCGTAAACACAATTCGTACCATTACAAAGTCAACTAGTCTGAAGATTGTGCAACCTTGTTTGTTTCGTTTTGGAATTGGTGGTAGGTCCGACAGGCGGCAAGTTGGAGTGCTCAGCTTATTTACTTCGAATTGTTGTACCGTACCGTTCTTGTTTATTGTCCATTGGAAACGACTGTTGTCGTTCTTGCTATTGGGTTGTTGGAGAGCGGAGACTGCTTGAGAGAGCCGCCGGGAGCAGAGCCGAGAGCTCCGAGCCCGAGAGCTGTCAAGAACTGGAAGTGACAAGAAAGGTGCCCGGACTGCCACAAACTGGGTCTTT